GGAGGGAGGGAGGGAGGGAGGGAGGAGAGGAAAGGAAAGGAAAGGAAAGAAAAGAAAGGAAGGAAGAAGGAGGGAGGAAGGAAGGAAAGAAAAAAAGAGAAAGAAAAAGAAAGAAAGAAAGAAAGAAAGAGAAACAAAGAGAGAGAGAAACAAAGAGAGAGAGAGAAACAAAGAGAGAAAGAAGAAAAAAAAGAAAAGAAAAGGGAGGAAGGGAGGGAGGAAAGAAAAAAGAGAAAGAAAGAAAGAAAGAAAGAAATGAGGGAGGAAGAGAGGGAAAAAGGAAGGAGATGAAGGGAGGGAAGGAGGAAAGAAAAGAAAAAGAAAGAAAGAAATGAATGAGGGAGGGAGGGAGGGAGAGGGAGGAAGGAAGGAAGGAGATGGAGGGAGGAGGAAAGAAGGAGAGGGGAAGGGAGGGGAGGAGAGGAGAGGAGAGGAAAGAGGGAAGGAAGGAAGGAAGGAAGGAAGGAAGGAAGGAAGGAAGGAAGGAAAGAAAGAAGGAAGGAAGGAAGGATTTCCAAAAAGCAGTTGCCCTCTGAAACTAAGCTCATAATGCTGTATTATCTGCGAAGTGAGGGTGATTGGTTTTTCCAGTGGTTTATGGCAACTGTTGAGAGTCCAGCTCTGCTCACAAAAACAAATTACTTTTTCATTAAATCATGTCGCAAGCATGCTCTTGGAGGCAGGGAATAAAACACCAACTCTGGACAGATTTTTTTTTAAAAAACGGCTCTCCGCTCCTGTGAACTGTACTTGAGCTGGGCCCGCTCTAGATAAGCAGATCCATTTTTTTTTCCGCTGTGCGAGACGCTCTCTGCGGAAACGCGGCATACGATGCATAGACCGCTTTATCGACGCTGACAGATGCACAGCTTTAAACAAACGACTTAAAATTTGCTTTATTGATCGGCTCCGTTTTCTTGAACTAGGCAGCAGGCTTCATTTTTAAATAATTTTGTTGTCTGGTTTTATTGCTTTTATTTTTATTTTTTTTTGCTGTAAGCCGTAAAGAACGTAATGGAGTTAAATAACCTTACTTCCCCCTTAGGAATGTTGAAACGATGGTTCTCAAAATTCTTAGCTAAAGTGCTTTTTTTTTAAATTTTCAATTCTGCTGGGTGTTGCAGGAGCACAAGCTAAAGACCAGTGATCTGTCATGGTAGTAATAATAATAATAATAATAATAATAATAATAATAATAATAATAATAATAATAATAATAATAATAATAACAACAACAACAACAACAACAACAACAATAACAACAACAACAACAAAACAACAACAACAACAAAACAACAACAACAACAACAACAATAATAATAATAATAATAATAATAATAATAATAATAATAATAATAATAATAATAATAATAAAAAAGGCGGCCTTACTAGGAACTGCTTCCATCCTGCGACGATATCTGTAATACCATCAAACATCCACATCTGCCTATCCCAGGTCCTGGGAAAGGACTTGATAGGTAGACAAAATGCCAAATCCAGTCTGAACATCTGGCTGACTGTGCGATGATCCATAGTAATAATAATAATAATAATAATAATAATAATAATAATAATAATAATAATAATAATAATAATAATAATAATAATAATAATAATAATAATAATAATAATATAAAAAAGTTGGAAGGGACCTTGGAGGTCATCTAGTCCAACCCCCTGCTCAGGCAGGAAACCCTACACCATTCCGGACAAATGGCTGTCCAGTCTCTTCTTAAAAACTTCCAGTGTTGGAGCATTTACCGCTTCTGGAGGCAGGTTGTTCCAGTGGTTAATTGTTCTAACTGTCAGGAAGTTTCTCCTTAGTTCTAAGTTGCTTCTCTCCTTGATGAGTTTCCATCTGTTGCTTCTTGTCCTGCCTTCAGGCGCTTTGGAGAATAGCTTGACTCTCTTTCTTACTCTTCTCTGCACTCTTTCTAGAGTCTCAGCATCTTTTTTACATCGTGGTGACCAAAACTGGATGCCGTATTCCAAGTGTGGCCTTATCAAGGCGTTGTAAAGTGGTATTAATACTTCACGTGATCTTGATTCTATCCCTCTGTTGAGGTATTTTTGATCCTAACTCTCTTTCAGGGTTCGAACCTTCCCCAAAGACTCCCATCTGGGCCACGACACGGTTCGCGCCCTCATGTACTACGCCTTGAAGGTGTGGAGTGACATCACGCCTCTAAATTTCCACGAAGTGGCCGGTAACAATGCGGACATCCAGATTGACTTCTCCAAAACCGATCACAATGATGACTATCCCTTTGATGGCCCGGGGGGCACGGTAGCCCACGCATTCTTCCCAGGAGACCATCATACCGCTGGAGACACTCACTTTGATGATGATGAATACTGGACTTTCCGGTCATCAGGTAATGTGGGGCAGGAAAAGGACCAAAGAGTTTGAAATCACATGTCTAGTGTAGTGAAGAGAAGGACTAGGGGTGACATGGTAGCAGTCTTCCAGTACTTGAGGGGCTGCCACAGAGAAGAAGGAGACATATTCTTCAAAGTCGTCTGAAGGCGGGACAAGAAGTAATGGATGGAAACGTAGGAGAGAAGCAACCTAGAACTAAGGAGGAATTTCCTGGCAGTGAAAACAATTAATCAGTAGAACGGCTTTTGCCTCCAGAAGTCGTGGGTGCTCCAGCGGTGAGGCTTTTAAGAAGAGACTGGACAACCATTTAATAATAGTAATAATAATAATAAAGTTGGAAGGGACCTTGGAGGTCATCAAGTCCAACCCCCTGCTCAGGCAGGAAACCCTATACCATTTCGGACAAATGGCTGTCCAGTCTCTTCTTAAAAACTTCCAGTGTTGGAGCATTCACAGCTTCTGGAGGCAGGTTGTTCCACTGGTTAATTGTTCTCACTGTCAGGAAGTTTCTCCTTAGTTCCAGGTTGCTTCTCTCCTTGATGAGTTTCCATCC